TTTGTATTTTTACTGATGGATTTTTCTTATAACATTATCTGTGAAATTACACAATTCTGTACTTTATTTAAATTTGGCTAAAAATAAAATTATGTTGAAGGTTTTCTGTGTTATTTTCACTTTTTTTTTTAAATATATTTTTTCTTGCACCTTCCTGCCACATATTGTTTTTTAACAGTTTACATTATACATTAATATATATATGATATTCAAGTACTGTAGATATGGCAGAAAATATCAAAACCTTTCTGGTATTTTTCCCTATGCATTATAACACTATATATATTATACTGTATGTAGTGCTGCACAGTTTTCACCTTCTTATTTAAACTTGTTGGTAAATTTACATTTAGTCTCCATTGAAAAGCACTTTGGACCAAAATGTGTTGTTTTAAATGTGCTTTAAAAATAATAGTGACTCAAATTAATTCAACTGTAAACCAAGAAATGTACAAGTTCCCATTAAATCAAAATAAATCCAAATAATAATCTGTGGTTCTGACTTTATCCAAGTTTCCCCCATAGAAATGTGAAATCAAGTTTATTAACTAACAGAACAGAGGTTTCCTTTCTGATCACAGACATTAATCATTTTCTACTAAATCAGAAATAAACACTGATAACTGAAATCCTAATTGAAAAAGTATGAATATTTTATTCTTATGAGGACAAATGATTCTTCAGAGATCATGTCCTTTAAAAGTGAAGAAGCTGAAACCCTGTGGAGCTGAGCTGCTCACCGTCCATGTGTTTCAGGACTCTCCAGAGGATCCATCGTCCAAGTTTTATTTTCTACCAACAAACTACTGCAAGCTACAGAGTAAAACTCTGTTTCTGTCCTGAATAAAGCAGCAGAACGATCCCCTCAGCGTTTACCACGGCGGTCCAAACACCCTCCGATCTCTCCTCAGAACCAACGCTCTGGATCCAGTTTGAACCTTAAAGGACCAGCTGTGGTTTCAGTGTTGGTTTGAGTAAATGGACCGGCCCTTCTCCTCACAAAGTTATTCTCACGCAGCAAAGAGGGACTGAGGTGGAAAATGTTTGGCGTCATCAGCAGAACTAAACAGAAAGAGTTCATCTTCATCTTCATCTTCATCTTCATCTTCATCTTCATCTTCACTGTCCTGCATGGAAACCTGCTGAAGTCTCCAGAAGTATACGACCGACGACCAAACTCCGTCTCAGCTACGTTCCACCAGATTACGTTTATCTGTCAGTATAACTAATTATTTCTAATCAACATGTGTTTCTTTCCTTGTCAGTCAACCAATCAACTGTTAGAAGGGGCGGGGCTTGTTACTATGGTAACCCCACAAACAGAGGCGCCGGTGAAGCTTTTTGCATTTGAACCCAAACGGTGATATTTTTCCAAGTCGTGTTTGTTGCCCAGAGCCTCGGTTCCACGTAGATTCGCTTCCTGTCGATTTCCAGACATTTTCTAAATTTTTATTTAAAGAATTTTTGGATATTTTGTTCATATTTCTCAAGATTTTTCTGACATTTTATTAATTTCCTTCAACTTAAATACTTGTCGTCATGGTTCTGGTGATTTAGTTCGTAACAGGCAGACATTCCTTTAAAATAACATGGAAACACGAGTTGGAACAACTTAAATTTTATGAATAATCAACATTAAAACTTGTGTTAATGCTGCTAATCATTAACTAAATCAGAATACCTGTGACTGTAGAGGGAAAGTTCGTCCTCCCAGCTCGGTGTAGTTTGTTGGATGAACATAGTTTCATTAGAAATTGTCTAAACTCAAAAAGATGAAACCTGGAGCGTTCATCTCATGGTTCAGTCCAAATGTCTGTAATTCAACACTTTAGACTCTGACATCAGCATTATTTCAGGATAAATGACACGAGTTCTATCCGTCATGTCGTGGCAGCTTCAGATATCTACTCGTCATTTAAACTTCGTTAACCACAGTCAGAGAGCTCTGTAGTTCCCTTTGGACTCATCAGACACTTATGAAGCAGTCTTGACATCCTGACCAGACAACTTAACACCGCGGAGTCATTCTGCATCAAATCAATCCTAGACTCACAGTTTGGGCAGAAAACAGACTGGAGCCCGACGCCGCCCAGCAGAGACCTACAGTCCAGTCCTGATGACAGACTCAAGTCTAAACATGAACATTTGAATTTAACCTAAGTTGAGTTTTTTGGGTTTGGATTGAAGAGTCTGACAGTTTTCATGCATTCAGTTAGAAAGTTAGACTCTACCTCGGTTTGGGATCCATCGTCGGCCGTCTCCGGTCAGGTTCTGGTTTTGCAGCGATGCATCGTGGGATCCGACTGAGTCAGAGCGCTGAACAGCAGCTGATTGGCAGCTCGACTGTTTGCTCAGAGGATGTCAAACTGAAGAACATGTGGCCGACGTACGGTCACGCCCGGCCTCAAAGTTCAAGGCCGTCTCCAAAACCACATGTTAGCTTCTTGTTTATGGTTTTAGTTCTGATGTTTTCCTGCAGATTTCACAGTTTTTCTTACATTCAGCAGCAGCAGCAGCAGCGCTGTCAGTTCTCATCAGCTGAACTTTAAACAGAAGGATGTCAGGACGCAGCAGAGCTGTTTATTCAGTCAGCGTGTCTGTGTGCATGTAGACTGATCATCATGTGACCAGGATGTATGAAGCTGGCAGGAATAACAAACCCTCCCCTGGTAAACAGAGCCGCTCACGTCCTGTCACAGATACATCTTCTGTTATCTCACATCAAACCAAACGCTGCTAAACCAACATCACAAACTGTTGAGTGGCTTCAGGAAGCAACTGGTCTGGTGTTTCATTTACAGAGAAAGTTTGTAGAGGCTGCAGAAATGGAAATAGTTCAATATCTAAATGATGTGGAGACAAAACGACCAGAAAGACACAAAACATGACGAAATGTCACAGCCTGGATCAGAACCAGAGAACAGAGGAGCCAGTTAGTGGAGATACATTCAGCTGATGGAGGAACATCTTTCTACATCTGAAGAAGCCTCCTGAATGAGACCAGTCCAGTTCCTCTCTGGTGAAGCTCTGGGGGTTACATGATGACTGAACATCCACACAGACACAGTTTCTGTTTTAATACGAGTGAAAACACAGCAGGACGGATATTTTTCACAGTGACTCAGTGCATTTACAAAAAAATCATCATCTCTATTCCAGGATCCGGGATTTTCAGCATCTGAGGGACTGAACTGGAACCAACTCAGTTTTAGAAAAGCAATCAAAGTCTCTGGATGGTCGGTCCCACAGTCACAGCTCAGGTGAGTTTCCCCTGAAGCCAAGTGTCCCACTGAAGTCCTGCTGAGCTGTGGAGGGCCAAAGTGTTTCTGACTTTCACATCCTGTTTGGATTTGAGCCACAGCTCTGCTCGGTGTCCTTCATCACCTCACGGTCCGGTTCTGTCGGCCGCTGTGTGGTTTTCTTTAGTCTTCGAAGGACGGTCGCTGGTAAATATCTGGAAGAGATGAAAAAGAAACGTAACAATAAACAGATGATGATGAATCTGCTTTTATTCTGAAGTTCTGAGGCTCTAACGTGACGACTTCAACCCTCCGAACCAAGAACCAAACCCGCCGACGGACAGACGTGTGTCAGACGTTCAGAGTGTCCAGGCTGAACTGCAGGCAGCGTTTCCACAGAGAGACTTTCTGGCACATGCTCAGTGCAGGATCTGGTTTAATTCCACATTAACGAAGACGGTCGCTTCGTTAATGTGACGAAGAGCGTTCAGCCGGAAGTCACAGTTTAATCTGAGAACACGACGCTGTGACATTCAGCTGTTCAGACGTTTTCTCTGGTTTTACCGTTTTCTCCAGCGAAGAACAAAAACTGAATCAACACAAGTGAAACTATGCAGTTGTTTTGTGTCTCTTTGTGTTTTTTTGTGTCTCTTTGTGTTGTTTTGTGTTGCTGTGGTCATTTTGTCTAAGCTAACTCTGGTCACTGTGAGGAATCCAAATGATTGAATTAAACAGGTTTTCCTCCGTCTCAGGTGGGAGTTCTGATGCGTTCCGTTTTGTTCTAAACTGTAGAAAACGGTAAAAAGTCATAAAACTCACTGAACGTGTCCAAACTTTAGATGCTGTGTTGAAAAGTCAGAAACAGCCACACATTCAGTTTACATTTTTTATACAGAAAATGCAAAATAAAAGCCAGTTACACAGAAATTACACCAGTTCTCCTGATTGGATCCTTCCTGGATCCACAGGAGAACCACAGGAGAACCACAGGAGAACCACAGGAGAACCACAGGGGGCAGCAGCGAGGCCGTCCTACCTGACAGGTGAGCTGGTTTCAGGGGAGGAGCACCAAGACGCCGGTTGAACCAAAAAGACGAACGCCAGGGGGAGACGCTGAAGGCTCGGTTCAATCTGGAGACTTATTTGGATGTTTGGTGTGAAACTGGTCGAGGTTTAGTTTTGTTGGAAGATTGAGGAGAAGCAGGAAGTTCAGAGTCAGCTGAGGGCTTCACCTGGAGCTTTTATTTTGAAGGGGTTTACACATATGCTGGACCCTTGTTGGTTTCACGTCTTAGAGGTTGTTTGTCGTCGCTTTGTAGTTGTTCTTCCTCTCCTGGTTGTTTTGTGTCTCATTGTTGTCGTTTGTCAGCTCTTAGCGGTGGTTCTCCATCTCCTGAGGGCTGCACTACGGAGCCAGACTAGTAGGTTATCAGGTAGGCTGAGCTTAAAGTCAGAGTTTTCAGTGTCATGAAGGCAGTTCTCTTTCTACCTGGCTAGATCTCCATGGTAACTGATGCTGTGGAGCTAGGTCTCCATGGTAACTGATGCTGTGGAGCTAGGTCTCCATGGTAACAGATGCTGTGGAGCTAGGTCTCCATGGTAACTGATGCTGTGGCGCTAGGTCTCCATGGTAACTGATGCTGTGGCGCTAACCTGGTCGGGAGCAGGTTCTGTTCAGAGTTTCAGATGTAAACCGGCTGACAGAGCGTCTCCCTTTAAGCAGACGGTTTCCTGGTTATTTATGAGCGATCCAGACTCTCAGCTGGGGGAATGTGTTTATCTGCTAACATGCTGGGATGTACGTTACTAATGTCGCCATGGAGTTACAGCATCACACACTGTAAACATTATGTTGCCATGGGAACCAGACATGTCTTTAGTCGGCGATGCAGAAATCACATAAACATGTTTTTATGTTTGGCTCTGATTTGTTGTCAGGTCCGTTTACTTTTAGCAGCTGATTGTAAAACGGATCATTCTGCTGGTGTTTATTACAGAAAACATTCAATCAATGACATTAGTTTCGCTCTGATTGGGCCAAAAGTTAAAGTGATTTCCTGCATGATGGCACCGTGTCAGACCTAAATGACATTCAATACATGATCATGTTTAAATATATGAAGTTTAAAGTTTAAAATGGAGATTTTAAATTAGAAATAATCGGCTGCATCAGTAAATATTCTCTATGAACACGTTGAACAGTTTCTACCAGGATTCCTGTCTCCACCGTTTACAGTAGCAGCGCTTTGTGCCGTCATACATGTTTTTATTCCTCATTGTTCTCCATTAAAACAACGTGTCGACTGAAGCACACGATCGGTTCAGTTAATGAGTCACGAGTTAAACGCCTCCTTTTATGTGAACGCAGAAAGTCTGAGCTGACAGAGAAGCTGAACCACCTTCATGACGCCTGTGATCTCCGGCTTCAGTTGTTGTCGAGCCGGCTTTGTCAAACTTGCTTCATGGTGCAGCCCTCTGGTCATTTTGTGTCTCTTTGTCGTCGTCTCGTGTCTGCTTGTGGTCATTTTGTGTCTTTTCTCAGCAGTCATGTCTCTTTGCAGCAGTTTTACATCTTCTTGCAGTTGTTTGGCGTCTCTTTGTGGTCGTTCTGCGTCTCGTCCCAGCAGCTTTAGGTCTATTTGCTGTCGTTGTGCGTCTCTTTGTGGTCGTTTTGTGTCTGTTGTTGGTCATTTTATGTCTCCTTGTCGTCATGCTGCGTCTCTTTGTGGTCGTTTTGTCTCTTTGTGATCGTTGTATGTCTCTTTCAGAAGTTTTGTGTGTCTTTGTTGTTGCTTTGCGTCTCTTCCCAGCAGTTTTAGGTCTTGTTGCTGTTGTTTTGCGTCTCTTTGAGGTTGTTTTGTGTCCATTTGTTGTCATTTTGTGGCCATTAATATCATTTCTTCTTGTGCCTCTTGTTGTTTTGTGTCTCTCTGCCGTCGTTCTGCGTCTCTTTGTGGTCATTTTATCTCGTTGTGGTTGTTTTATGTCTCTTTCAGCAGTTCTGTGTCTCTCCGGGGTAATTTTGTGTCCCTTTGTAGTTGTTTTGCGTCTCTTTCCAGCAGTTTTAGGTCTTGTTGCTGTTGTTTTGCGTCTCGCTGTGGTGGCTTTTTGTCACGTCGGTGCACAGAGGGAAGTTCAGACGGGGATTGAAGCGATTTATTTGGCTGTCTGGTAGGAAGCTGCTGGTGGAGAGGTAGTTAACAACAGACGTAGTTTGTTGGAGTGGACGATCAGGGACGAGAGGCAGAAGGTTTTAGGGGTCGATTTCTGTTTTTGACGAGGCTTTTGTTGATTTGGTTTGATGCAGATGAGAACTTTGAAAAGAAGAGGAAGGAAAGCCTAAAAACGAGGTCTGATGTCAGAGAAGGCGGTTAGTTGAGGAGAGGTCTAAAGGGGCCGCCGAAAGGATTAGCAGGAGAAAGACCCTCGTGGACTTCAGGAGGACGAAGACTTGGATCGCCTGAAGCAGCAGGAAGCTCTGGACGGACGGACAGCCAGAGGACGGACAGACAGAGGAATGGATGGACGGGTGGAAGGGTTGGCGTTAGGAGTAAAGAGCATCAATACCTGCAGGAGTGAGGACCAGAGCCTGTAGGAGGTCAGACAGAGACACGATCCCTCTGACCACGTTGTCACGGTCCACCAACACCAACCGATGCACCTGACGACGGAGGAACACTCGTTAGCAGAACCGAGACACGGTGAAGCAGCTTCAGCCACAATCTGTGAGGTGAAGGAAACACTGAGCTCATCCTGCACCACAACAGTCCAGTACGAGACCGAGGCTGCACCAGTCATGTCTACTGGGAGCAGAGCATCACTGCACACGGAGACGCTCCAACAGGGACGGACTCAGATTCAGTCCGGTGTTCTGACCATCGTACCCCTTAAATATATCTGATCAGATGTTTTCTGGGCTGCAGTATCTGAGTGTTTGTGATGCGGTAAGTGCGTCTATTTGCAGCAGATTTATGTCTCTTTGTGGGTGTTTTGCATCTCTGCAGTCCCTTTGTGTTTCTTTGTGGTTATTTTATGTCTCTTTGTGGGTGTTTTGTGTCCCTCGTCTGTCATTTTGTGTCTCTTTGCTGTCGTTTTGTGTCTCTTCGTGGCCGTGTTGCGTCTCCTTGCAGTTGTTTTGTGAGTCTGCGTCGTGTCTTCGTGTGTTACCTCGGCCTTTGCGATGCGGTCGATGATGGTCTCCAGGGTTTCATGGGGGTAGCACTTGAGGACTCCCTCCATCCAGCCGCCTCTGGACGACACGGCTTCCCTCATCGTCATGTTCAGGTTGTTGTAGTTTTTCTGAGCTGCCAAGTTCTTAACATCAGAACAAAAACAGAGAACAACATGATCCTGCTGCTGGTTGTAGCTTCAGATCCAAAACAAACCCTCAGACAGACATCTTTCATGAAGTCTTTAAATCTGCCAATTTCTTAAAGCAGTTCACTGACTTGGGCTGGTTTGAAGCTAACTGTTAGCTGTGTTAGGCTAATGTGTCGCTAACACAACATGTCAGGTGACTGTGGAATGACTTCATGAACGGCTGAGCTGGTTGTGTGAATGCATTTTTAGTTTAATTCTGTTGATCTTAGTCTGTATTTAAGTTATCAAACCGAAGAAGTGAAATTGAACTCACGATGACATCGAACCTGGAGTACAGCGCCACCACTTTGCCTACAGAGGAGACACACAAGTCAAAGGTTTGGAGTCTGAAAAAGTGACGTAAAGTTTGTGGGGCTGGACCGTCGTTATGGTGGTATCCGGATTGTAATTTTAATATCCGAATATTCTCCCCCCAACATGTTGAATACGTCTAAAAAAAACACCCTAAAATACCCCGAAATGACCCGTAACGACACAAACTTGGTGGCAATGGTTCGAAAGTTGGCCAAAGTAACCAAAAGTTGTCCATGATGACATAAAACTTGCCAAAAACTACAATAAACTGTTTACAAACTTCACCAAAATGACACAAAAATCCCCTAAAATCACACAGACGTGTCCGAAATGAAGTGAAACTTTCTAATTCGTCTCAAAAGTTGCCTGACGGACTCAAAACTCTTACAAAATGACAAAAATGTGGCAAAAATAACCCAAATTTGTGCAACGCAACTCAAGAAAATTACAAAAAGGGTCCAATCAGCATAAAAATGTGTCAAATACGCCTCAAAAATCACCTGAAACAGCTTGAAACTTGGTCACAATGACTCAAAATCTGTCCAGAATGACATTTTTTTCTGGTTTCCATCTTTCTGACTGAGTCCTGCTGACAGAAGACATCTCTGAGTTCTGTCTCCTTCCTCATGGTTCTGGTTCCACTGAGCTGCAGGACTTGAACCAGGATGAGTGAAGACATGATTTTAAATCGGTGATACCTTCCTCGTTGACCACAGGCAGAGCAGAGACTCTTCTCTCCACGAAGATGGTCAGGGCGTCGTAGACGGAGGCCGACTCCTGGACCGTGGCGATCTCCTTGAAGGTTCCGATCGGAACTTCGCTGATCCGCTTCTGCAGGAACCTCGGTTTGGGAATCATGGAACCCTGCAGGAGAACAACGGCGCGGTCTGAGTTTAACAGTGACAAACAAAGAGACATTCTTCCAGCTGGCGGGTTGCCGGGTTTGCGTACGAAGATGTGGAGGAACTTGAGGATACGTTTGTGCGTCAGGATGTGCAGAACGTTTCCCGAAGCCGGATCGATGACGGGCAGCCGGTGGATCTTGTTCTTCAGCAGCGAGTAGATGGCGTCGAACAGGCTGAGGAGATAAACACAGTGTTTATATGAGAACAACAGGAGAACGTCAGATACCAGCCACAACATTAAAACCAGCTCGTTAAAGCGTCCTGCTGGTCGATGTTAGTTTGATGTAGTTAAATTTCTTTGATTATTTTATTCAACAAAAATATTTAAAAAACCTGCAATGAACACGTCCAACATGTTTCCACGTGTCCTCAGGTGTGACCAACGCTGGGATGAATGGAGCCTCATTTTTGTCATTTTGTGCATCTTTATTTGTTATTTTTCGTCTCCTTTCTGTCACATTTTTCTCGTTTTGTGTCCTTTTGTGCTTCATTTTTTTGTCTTTTGCTTCATTCTGGGTCTCGTTTGTGTCGTCTCGTGTCTCTTTGGGACGGTTTTGTCTCAACTTTGACGTTTTGTGTCTCGTGTTTGTATTTTTTTTTTACTTGATTTATTCACTTTGTATCTCATCTTCTGTTTTTATTATTATTATTATTATTTTATGTCTTGTTTTTGCCGTTTCACATCTGTTACGTCCTTTCGTGTCTGTCTGTGGGTGTTTTGTCTCCACATTCATTTATTCACATGCAGTTTTTTCTCCTCTCTGTTCAGTTTTAAGTCTTGTTTTCTTGTCTCGTGTCTATTTCTTCTTGTTTTCTGTCTTGTTTGTGTCTCTCTGTGAGTCTGTGGTACTTCTACCTCCTCTCTTTGTGTTTCATTGTTCTGTTGTGTCTCACGTAGTTTCATGTTTCACGTCTTTTTGTGACAGTTTTGTCTCTTCTTTGTCTTTTTGTGTCTAATTTTGATGTCGTTTGAAGGATCTGGTGACTGTTCTGGAAGATTTTTACATGTTTTGATTAAACATCATAATTGTGAGCTCAGATTTGTTCAGACTAAACCCGATTCCATCTGATGATTCTTTCTGGTTTTCAGATTCTGGCGGCCACGTGGTTGTATTTCAGTGATTATTAACGATAACACGACGTTAACGAGGAGTTCAGATGGTTCCTGTTGTGGCTCATTGGTACGTATTTGCATTTTCTTTTTCTCTTTTACCAAAAGGACTCAAATTCAGATGTAAATGACATTTTATTATCCTGCTAAAAACTACATATGTTGGTGTTTTTTGCAGTGAAATCACAGACAGTAGCTGTGATAAAATAACTGGTTCTGATCCAGGTTTGACGGTAAACCCGGGACATGTGATTTAACTTTGCTGACTGATCACAGTTTGCACCTTTAATGAACATCCGTCCTCACCTGGAGTCCGGCGTGATGCTGATGAGTCTGTTGATCGAGTACTGCAGGTAGATTTCTGCAGAGACAGAAACGGTCAGAGTCTTCAGAGAAATTAAATCACAGTTTTCTTAATGAAACACTTTGGGTTCGTTGGCACCGACCTCTCCACGTCTCGATCTTATGTTCCTCCAGCTCGTAGATCTGAACCTGCAGACACAAACAAGCATCAAATCAGAGCAGCTGTAGGATTTAAATGTTGATTTTCTGCCCTTTTTTGTGCAAATTACTGCATAATTAGATGTGACTGCATTGTTCAGGAGACTTCAGGTATTTATTTGCAGCTAAAGTTTGACTCCAGCTCACCAGAGGAGACTTGTAGTAGCGATGGAGGATGTTGATGAAGTCGGTGATGGTCAGCATTCCTGCAAACATGGAGTCATCAGTCTTTAACGCAATAAAGGTTATGAATGAAAAACGCTGCTGATCTTCTGTTCTGCTGCAACCCGGAAAAAGTCTGAGACTCACAGGATGAAACACAACCGACCGAACAGGAACTGAACTGAGTCGAGGCTAAAAATGGCCAAAATTCAAATGAAGTCTGGTGCAGTGGACACGAATTTGTTTGTGTGTTGAAAGGGCTGAATAAAGTCGAGTCTAAAACTGAGAATATTTTGAATGAAGTTTGGTGTACAGCTACACAAGGACTGAATAAAATCAAGACTAAAATGAGGAATGTTTTGAATGAGGTCTGGTCCTACAGATGTCTGTGCAGTCACACAAAAGCTGAATAAAGTCAAGCCTAAAATTGGCCAAAGTGTAAATGAAGGTTGGTACTATGGATGTCTATGCAGCTGCATCAGAACTTAATAAAGTCTGGTCTAGAATCGGGAATATTTTGAATGAAGTCTGGCATTACAAGTGATGAAGTAAACAGACATGAATTTGTTTTCTAAAACAGGGTGTGACAGAAAAAGATATGAAAAATGTCAGTTAAAACTGGCAAAATGTTGAATGAAGTCTGGTACTACAGCTGCAGCCACAGGAGGACAGAATAAAGTCACGTCTAAAAACATGAATATTTTAAATGAAGGCTGGTGCTACAGATGTCTTTGCAGCTACACAAGAATCAAATAAAGTCAAGCCCAGAATTGGGAATGTTTTTTAATGAAGTCCGGCACGGTAGATGATTAAATTAAAAGGACATTCATTTTTTTTGTGATTTTTTTTGTGTGTTTTCCAGAATATGGCGCAGCAGGAAAGAACTAATGATGACGGCTAAAATTGGAAACATTTTGAATGGAGTCTGGTGCTGCAGCTGTCTGACCACCTGCATAAGGACTGAATAAAGTCAAGTCTAAAAGTGACTTTGTTAGAAGACATTTCTGAGTTCTCAGAGTCTCCACAGAAGTGCAGGACTTTGCGTTGCAGTGAAAAATGAGCCCACAGTGAAGAAAACCGCCCAGAAGCTGCCTGTAGTTTAGAGCGCTGAATAATTTGTGTGTCTGTGTGAAGTTCAAGCGTCAGCGGCGTCTCTAAAGTGAGTCATTGTGTTACAGCGGCTGAAGCACTTAACACGCGTGTTTTAATTACAGCTGCTGGTAACACAACACACGGTTCTGACCTGGTTTCCTGTGAGCCTGATCACCTGAAACCAGCTCTGAGGAACTTGAACCCTGAGAACGTCCCAGAGGAGGAACCCATGTGGGTCAAACAGCAGCGGTTCTCCTGAGGACTGCTCACGGTCCAGCTGAACCAGAACATCTGAGCTACTCTCTGAACCCGTCAGCGGGTTTAATGTTCTTTACAGCCGCAACAAACTGTTTCTATCATTATTTTCATTATTGTTATGAACATATTTGTGTCTCTTTGTGTTTGTTTTGTTTCTCTCTGTTTTCATTTTGTGTCTCTTTGAGGTCATTTTCAACTATTTCCCTGACGTACCCGACCAAAGGATCAATAAAGTTATGTCTCATCTAATCTAATTCACACAGACGTAACACAACTCACCCACAAAACACTTGAGCTTGTTGTCCCACAGCGGTGCTGCTCTCACTCCGTTAGCCACCAACGCAAAGAAGGCCTTCTTCACCTGACAACAACACACAATAACAACACAATCAGTCTGCACAACAACAACAACAACAACAACAACAACAACAGTGGGTCTGTACAGCAGCACCTGCAGCGTGGTGTCGAAGATGACCAGCTTGGAGCTGGTGGGGATGGCGTCGTAGCAGCAGTGACTCTTCATGAAGTTCATGTAGATGAAGGTGTCGGGGTCTGAGTCTGCAGGGGGCGCTACAGCTGCATACGAACAGCCTCCTGCAGACACACAACACGGGTTTCTAGAGAAACTCCACAAAGTCTGGTGTTTTGTTTGCACATGAAACGGAAGCAAAAACAGCCGAGTCCTCGTTTGTTTGACTCTCTGAGCTCCAAGCAGCAGGTTCTGGGAGTTTGTCTTCACTCTGGGTTCATGTTTCACTGCAACATAAAGTCCTGCAGCTCCACAGAACCAGAACAACATGAAGAGAGAACTCAGAAACACCTTCTGTGCAGGACGACAGTTAAAAAGACACTCATCAGAAAAACGGAGTCGTTAAGTTTCAAGTTTGTTTTAAACACATTTGTGTCGTTTCAGGCAGTTTTTGAACAACTTTGGGGTCAAATGTTGGTTTTGTCAGGTTTCATCATGTCGGATGAGTTTAGAGTCAATCTGGAAAAGTTTTGTTATTTTTTTCAGACAGAGTTCAAGTTAGTTTAGAAGAGTTCATTCTAATTTTGAACAACTTTTGTGGCAGTATGACAGTTAAAATGTCCTAAATCATTAAAAAAATAAATAAAAGTTGAATTTCTATTCATATTTTACAGCCTCTACAAACTGTATGTTTTTGTATATTTTACTGTTGTGTCAAAAAAATGTAGATTTTTTTTGTATTGTACAGAATCTATTTTTTTTTTTTGTCATTTTTTAAAGCTGGTTAGTAACTCGATAAGTCAACCAGGGTTTCTGGATCTAAGTCACAGAGTTGGTACCAGATGACCAAACATGGACAGGAGCACTTTGAGCTGCATGTTTCTCAAGACAAGCCTAAAATTAGAAATATTTTGAATGAAGTCTGGTCCCATAAACGTCTGTGCAGGAACACAACAACTTTCATTATGTCAGGTTTAAAATGTAGAACATTTTGAATCATCTCTGGTACTATAGATGTTTGTAAAAGGACTGAAACAAAGTGAAGTCTAAAACTGAAGATACTTCAAATGAAGTTTGGTACGATACGTGTTACGTGAAAACTGACAAAAGTCTAAAATTGGCAAAATTTCCAATGAAGTCTGGTCCTGTTTGATCAAAGCTTTCAGCACTTTCTCAAAGGATCCTAAAACATTCCTAAACCTACAGGAGATTAAAAGACCACAGAACAAAACTACAGTCCCTTCATGCTGTTCATGAAAAAGACAAAATCCTGGGATTAATAGTCAATTAATAGTAAAGTAAAAAAAACAAAAACCTGTTGGGTTGCATTCAGTAACCTCACTTTCTGGAAGAGTGTCAGTTTTATTCTTTTATTCTGTTTACATCGTCACCTCTGCTCTTCATCGAGAGAACATCCTCCTCCTCATCCTCTTCGTCCTGGTCCATCTCAAATAAGGGAACCTGGGAGACGAAGGACACCAACAGTTCACTGAACCAGAGACCAGTAACTGGTCCACAAGCGCACCAATATGTTGGTGTGTTACACAATCTATTAAAAAACAGAGTTTCAATGATGTAAAAGAAAAAAATGAGCATGTTAATGTTAAATAAAAGAAGGAATAACACCGACAGAATAAATGCAAACCACGTAGAGCATGTTAACCACTACATTACTTGCAAAGAAGATCAGGTTAGCCGCTACATTAGCCTGACCTGCTGTTTTAGCTTAAACATGAAAAACTATATTACTACATTAGTCTAAGTAAGATGTTAGCCATTAGCCTGAAAAAGACAATATCAACCACTTCATTAATCTGAGCAAAATATGTTTAGCTTCCACAAAAGCTTAAACAAGATCATAGTAGCTGCTATGAGATAGATAGATAGATAGATAGATACTTTATTCATCTCCAAGATGTTAGCCTTACCAAATAATGCTATATGCTACATTAGTCTAAACATGACAATGTCAGCTGCTCTTAGCCACTACATTAGCATGATCATGTTCGCTGCTATGTTAGCTCAAACATTAGCAACTATATTAGTTGAAAGCAAAATTGTATTAGCTGCTATTTCAGTCTAAACAAGTACTGATAACCACTACATTAG